GATGCTGAGCACAGAGAAGTTGAACAACTTGTGGAAGATCACACAGTTGGTATGAAGCAGAGCCAGAACCCAAGCTATACACGCTGGTTTTAGAGTTTGTAGTCTTAACTGCTTCAAACAACCATGATTGGGAAATCAAACGGTTAGAACTTTACATCACTACAATTTCATATGATTAAGAACAAATAAACAAAAGCAGGAACAGGGTCACATAATATATAGGCCTAGAACTCACGATGTAGACCAAGCTGGCTTCAAACTCACAAAAATCTACTTACCTTTGCCTCCCAAGTACTGGAATTAAAAGCATGCACTAGTATGCCCTGGTTTTCCACAATTCTCTTAAATCATTTCAACGATGAACTAATTAATTAAGTAGTAGGCTATTCTAGAGTCTGATTTTACAACAGGATATTATTATCAAGGTGTTATCAAAATCAACTACCTAGTGTTTCACATATAGTCATTCCAAACTAATGAAATAAAAATCATGAACTTAGCAAACTGTGTTCACCAAAAGGGTAGATATATTTTCAAAAGAATTCAGCTAGGCCAGGAGCTGTGGCCATCACACATACAGTTCTTCAAAGACCTTTTTGAAGTGAGACTTGGCCCTATAGAGTCTCAGACAAAAGATGATTCTTGGTCTGCCCATGCTAAATAATTTCAGCTGTTCTAACATCTAAAAGTGGCATGGAAGTCAGGGGTGGTGGGGGACACTTTTCCATAATCAGAACTTTGTGTCTTTTATACTCACAAACTCAAAGGCAGAATCTCAGAAAGATCTACTTAGCAATACAATTAAAACTGTGTTCCTTCAGAAGTTCTGTTTTCCAAGATTAACTGAAATAAATGGTAACAGAGAGGGATACAAAGAGCCTGTCTCAGTGGGTGATTTGTATATGAACATAGAAAAGATAAGTGGGTGAGCTTTGAGATCCAACAGTTAATTATCTCAAGTATTCTTAAACAGACGGGACAGCTGAGAGTGTTTTTCCCTGGGAGAGCTCATGCTTAGCACACTGGATTCAACCTTAGCAAGACAACAATAAGAAAGGACACTCCATGTCTATACCTCTGGAACCATCAGGGGAAACTAGACATTTGCATCAGTGTTTACTATATTGTCACTGTGGTGAAAAATGAACAGCCATCATGGTTACTTTGCTATATGGTCACCCTTCCTGTTTGGAGGGTTAGATGATGCTTTGAGTGAACATGTTTTATGTGTTCCTGGGAAATGGCTGAAAGTAAAGATCCTGGACTTCTGAAAAGGCTAAGATCAAACTAGATTTTGAAGTCTAGTGTTTATGATTTAAAAAAATATTCTTTCAAATCAGTTTCTTCTCTAACATGGACATTAAGAAAGAAAGGAAGGAAGGAAGGAAGGAAGGAAGGAAGGAAGGAAGGAAGGAAGGGAGGAAGAAAGAAAGAAAAACAAGAAAGAAAGAAAGAAAGAAAGAAAGAAAGAAAGAAAGAAAGAAAGGAAAAGAGGAAGTCCTTATCAAGCAGTTTTCATGAATGCTGTGGTCTCTATTCATGTCTATGTTTTACATATATGTTGATATATCACACCTTGGATTTTATATATAATTTTAGTTTTTAGTTACTTATTTTAATTTTATGTGCATAAGTATTTGCTTGCATTATTCATGTGTACCATGTGTGTACTGGGTGCCCACAGAGTTCAGAAAAGGATACCAGATCTCTGGACCTGGGTTTACAGATGGTTGTAAGCCACCATGTTGGTGCTGAGGACTAAACTCAGGTCCTTTGCACGAGTACTAACTGCTCTTAGCCAGTGTGCCATCTCCCTGTCCTGACATGTATGTTTTGATAGCTATTTTGTAACACAACAAATTCATCATGTGGCTTCAATTTTCAGGACAACCACATTTAAACACCTTATTTTCATGTTTCCTTTCTACTTCCACAAACTAATCCTTCAATAGGGAAGCCTTGAGAGAGTCTCCGCTACAGAAATAAGACTAAAGTACTTGTCATGGACCCCAGACACTCAGTCTGGATAGCCAGTGAAAGATAATGATGGTTTTGATTTGCAAACACATAGCTCTGGTGTTTCACATGCCAGTGGGTAGATACATACTTCCGTACAGTATCTTATTTTGACGAGGCCTAAGCACAGTGATACTCAGAAGTTAAAACAATAGATAGCAATATAATTATAGTGATAGATTAATCATAAACAGGAGTTTCCTTTCTTGGGCCAGGACAGCTTCTCTTTGGCTCAATTCTATGAATTTTGGTCACCCGTCCATTCTGCTTATCTATCTCTGCCTCTCTTCTGTCTCCTTTGTCTTAAGATTTATGTAATATCCCAATTGTAGACTACAATACACATTTGAAATTTCAGTTTCTTTGGCCAACACACAGCCATAGGACCTACCAAGTGTTCGATAATATTATTTCATTTCTGCCTGCATACCAGAGATTTTTCAGCAATTAAGAAACTGTTTTCTTCTGTGTTTCAAGTAAGCCACTTGAATACATTTCTTACCTGGCTCAGAATACGGCCACATTTTATTCCTATGTTTTCCACTAAATCAAAAATTGGAAAATTCCAGGTGTTTAACTGATCCATAATCGAGTCCAGGTTATCCATGACCAGAGGCTCTGGGGCAAGAATTGGTTTGTCCTGTAATGGAGATGAAGACACGTGAACCACATGTAGCTTTTTTATTTAAAAATCACTTCGGTAAATTCAATAAACATCTATATCTCTCTGAAATGAGTCCATCCATCTTAAAGTCAGTAAACAAACAAACAAAACAAAATAGGAAGAAGACATGAGCCCAGAGGGAAGAGGCCAGCACTGGATGTAGCTGAGACAGAGTTTTATGGAGTCTGGTGCCTGCTTGACCATCTTTCATATACAATCCTGCCTGACACAGATGCTTTTCCCAGTGTTACTTTCACTACTTTTGCATCAATTGAAGACTGAAGAACTTCAGAAAACTCTGATGTTATTTCTAAATTTCCTTCTTTCTATACTTCAGCAAATGTATCTGAGATGTGGGACTTGGCTTACGTTGGATCTTGACAGAAACGCATGAAGAGGATGTAGGCTCCCCCCCTCCACTTTACTTCTATCTAATACATTCAATATCAGCATTATTCCTGAAGAATGACAGCTGCCACATCTTTGAGGAATGTAATTTCATGGTTGTGACCTGCTCTCCCCTAAACAACTTGCTCTGTATTAATGCAAGGACATTCAGTATACAACATGTCCTAAATTATGATACTTGTATCTTCTCACTACTACAAATATTTTAAAAATTAAGCAAAATGAAGATAAGAAAACGTTAAAAAATATTTTTACCTGAAAAACTGCTATAATGTGCAAGTCGCAGAAACATAAAGAAAAAGAGTAACAGCAGCAGCTTATGATTTCAGGCAGGTCAACCACTCTGTCCCTGGCAGCTGCCTTAACCTCACTCAGACGTGAACCAGTGACTGTCTCTACACCAGATAAGTCACCACTACATTAGAATCAGTAAGAACCTGATCTAATATAACAAAAACCAAACTAAAACAAAAAACCCAAATACTGCTTCATGTTCTATTCAAGAGGATATTAAAAATAAAACAGAAGCTGCCCTAAGAAAATCAGCTAATCAATCAACCTTTCTAAACTATTAGTTTAAAATTATATTACCATTTAGTATTATTAGTTTTTAAATTTTTCATTAAACTTATGCATAGTTTTTTTGTTTCATTGTTTGTACTCATGGACTGGAGAGATGGCTCAGCAGGAAAGAGCTTGCCATGCAAGCATGGCAGCCTCAGTTTGATCCACACAGTGTACTTTAAAAAAATAAGTGTGATTGAATGTGGACACATGTAATTTCAAAGCTGGGGACATATTTAAAGGCGGGTTCCTAGGACTCACTGGCCAACCATCCAAGCCTGCATATGGAGCTCCAAATCAGTGAGAGAACTTGTCTCAAAATAAATTAGATGGAACTTGAATTAAAACACTGGCAGTTGTCTTTTGGCCTTCATTCTCATGTGTGCTCACCTGCATGTACATATGCAAGCACAAGCATGAACACACACACACACACACACACACACACACACACACACACACACACTTTGATTACCAAACAAAAGTATCACAAAGAAAACAGTATATCCAAAGGTTATACACATGTGGTTTCAAACAGATGCGGCTATAAGCCTAAAGCAGCAGAATATATCCCTAAGTCAGTCTCTGCAACTGAAGCAAGTTCTGATGGAAATGAATGAGTTTAGTGATATGGGGCTACCAGGAAGATCATGGCCTGGGAAGTATAGGCGCCACAAGCCGATGCTTTCCTCAGTGGTTCTCTCTGGCACTCAGCCTCCTCTTCATTCTGTAAAATGTCACTGCTGTCACTGTTGTTGTTGGTCTCATAATCAGAGGTAACTTGAGAAGTGTCATCTGCAAGTGAAAGAGAAAAACCTATTATTAGAGACCTATGATGGGAGGGGACACAAGGAAGTAAGCCCCTTGAAACACATCACTGTATGATGAAATATGTAAGGAGAGTGTGCCTTCATGGATCTATACATCAAGAACATCATGGAGACCAGATGAGGGTGTTAGATTCCTTGGAACTGGAGTTAGAGGCAACTAGTAAGCCACCCAACATGGGTGCTGGGAACAGAGCTCAGGTTTTCTGGGAGAGCAGTGCATATTCCTACCCTCTGTGCAATCTCTCCGGCCCCCAAACACATTTCAAAACCCAACAGATGGGAAGTAAGATGTGTGATTTATGTGACATTCAGTGGTTCTGATGATTACTTTTGGATCAGTTATTTGCATTAATTCTATGTTTACATTTTTTCCTCACTTCTTTCACTCTTTTTTCCCTTTTTCTTTTTTCTTTCTCTTTCCTTCCTTCCTTCCTTTCTTCCTCTTCCCTCTCTCTCCCTCCCTCCGTCCTCCTTCTCTTTCTTCTCCTCCTCTTCCTCCTCCTTTTTTCTTCTTCCTCTGAACGGGAATCAATCTAGGGCTTTGCTCATGCTATCAAGAACTCTACCACTGAGCTATATTCCCTAGCTGGAATTTTGATTTCGTCTATTCTTCCACTGCATTAAGTCCGGAAACAGTTGACTAACCACTAATTATGGACAGATGGGATAGAAATAATTATGTTGACGTACTCAGGAATGAGTGGTCTGCAGAGCATGAAGCAATGGCTTATGCCCATGTGTGGATAGAAATTATGTGTATAGCCCAGCTAATTGGGAGTTTGGGCTTCTTCCTTCTTTTGTCTCCTGCATTATCTCTGCCTGAAGTCGGTAATCAATTGTTAGATAAAAACCCAACCAGAAAATAACAAGTGTCTAAAAAATATGCTTCCAAGCAATCATCAGGAAGAATGAAATATCTGTAACATTATCTCAGGATGCTCTCTCTCTCTCTCTCTCTCTCTTTCTGTCTTTCTAATATAGTTGCTTGTAGAGTAAAATTAGGGACAAAGAACGGCATAAAGCCACAACTAATGAGATGCAGTTCCTGATCTGTGGAGAAGGACAACACTGCAGTGCAGGACCATGGCACTATGAGAGCCCTTGAAGGTACCTGACCTGTTCCCCTCACTCTATCAGCCCTGGAAGACTTGGAGGAGCACCCCAAGTCTTCAAAAGGCTACACAATGGCCACACTAATAATTTTCCTTTGTCTTTTCCTTGCCCTTTGTATATTCCTACTCAATAGTCTCATAGGAAAATTATGTCTGCAAATTTGTTTGAGAGTATCACTAAGAAATGTTTACAAGGACACATAATTATTTCTGGTGGTAGCATGACCTTAAACTCTATGTTTCAGAGGTGCTTTGTTATCTACCATGTATAAAAGCAAGCCCACAGAGCTGTGCCAACAAAAATAATTAAGACAGTAACAGTCACAAGCAGTAGCCGCTTACAGTGAGCCCCATACTCCAATGAGAAATAAATGCTTCAATATATATTTAATCTTATTTAATCTTTGTGGTGATCTTATGTGTTGGGTACTATTGTTACTCTGCAATTTTGCAACTAAAGAAACTAAGATGCAAAAATGTAGCCAATCCATGAGTAGGGAACAGAAGGAGAGGTAATCAGGCTACAATACATTTGCTTTTAACTTCGAGATCCTGCCTCAAGACAAAACTGTGTTAGCATGAACAGTGCTACAATGAGGGAGGGTCATATCTTAGTGTCAGGGTTGGTGATCTCACTAGCACATGCTAGTCCAAGTAGCCCTTTAATGGACAAGGCATCAAGATGAACCACCATTTATATACAGTGTAACATGTAACATACATTGCTCTACATTACACAAAGGGGCCTCTGACTTTTAAAATAATATACATTTGTATGCAAAGTCCAGAAACTTGGGAGAGTCCCACATCAAAACTGTGCAATGAGTTAAATTTAGATAGTGGCTTCAGGATGAATTTTATTTCCTTGTTTGTGTTTTAAATTTACATATTTGGGGCTGGAGAGATGGCACAGTGGCTAAGAGTATATTTTCTGCTCTTGTAGAGGAAGTTCACCTCTCAGCACCCCTATCCAGTGGCTCACAGTCATGTATAATTCTAGCTCCAGGGGTCTGATGCCCAACTCTGACCTCCATGAGTACTATACCCACATGCATAAACCTACACTATCACACACACACACACACACACACACACACACACACACAATTAAAAACTTTAGAAAGTTAAAATTTGCAAATTAAAAAAAAAAAAAAACAAGCCCAAAATTCATATGGGCTTTTTGGTCCAGAGGAAAATATAAAATAAAATAACTTGAATTTCTAGCAACAGAATCCAAACTAGTGCGTTACCTGTTCTGTTTGGTTTCTGAATGGCTGGACCACTTGTCTCTGAGGATCCATCTGCAGGATTCCCTTGTGAATAAGGTCTGCCACAGCTGGGAAATATTGGGAAAGCCATCAGTACCTCTATGTTTTAAAACACTTTTTAGCACATAGTACCTTCATAAACATCAACCATTCCCTTCCCTGGTCTTTGCTGGCTGTAACCAAAGCCCTGAAAAACACACTTCAGAAAGGAAAGATGCATGTTGGCTCATGGTTTAAGGGATATCATTCTATAGTCAGCATTTCCACTGACCATGGAATAACAGCACTGAGACAATCTATCAGGGCAGTGACAGGGCAGTGACAGAGAGCTCTGGAGAGATGGGGGATAGGAAACACCCTCAGCGGCCCAATATTAGGAACCTAATTCCTCCAATGAGTCTCCTATACCATGTTTGTAACCTTTCCCAACAATGTGTCAATCATAACTGTATCAGTAGATCCATCCATTGGTTAAGTCAGGACACTCTAGATCTAGCTATTTTCCAGGATCCTCCATGTTTCATACTGAAATCACAACTATAATAAAAATATCATAAATAATTGATCAGGAAAAGAGCTTTAAACTTCATCTGACCCTCCTCCTCCAGCTGCTGAAGTTGTTATATTATTTGAGAAAATACTGAAATAACCACCATTTATCTGTGAGGAGGATCTGAAGGTCCTGGTACATGTTTGGCTATGAATATTTTCCCCAATGGGATAACTTTAGAGACTCGTTCCTTTATTTCTTGAAGTTAGGATATTCAATTTCTGAATAAATTTTTAATAAAAGAAAACAAAAGTTAAAACAGAATGACAGCACATTAATTTTATTTTATTTTATTGGCCAAAATAAATGTTTTATTTACCATAGTTTTCTCAGTCATCCTTTAAGGTCTTAAGAAAATGAACAAAGGAGAGAGACATTTGGAAAAAAAGTGTGATTATACACACTCTGCTTGAGAGAAAAAAAAATGAATCAACATGATCTGTGGACAACCAAGAAGATAGAAGGGTTTGGAAAAGTGTATAGCTCCCCCTCACAGAGGTAGGTAGAAGACAAAGACCTTTTTGTTCTATTTTCACAACAACTTGACTGTTTTACAGTCAAAAGTTAATCCCACAAAAACCTACTGAGTTCCCAAACTGGCCCCTCCTTTTTACCTTGTTTAACTACTTCATAATTAGATTTTAATATCCTAATTTGTGGCTGGGCTCTTTTCTTCTGCATAATATAAAAGATCTCAGAAGAGAAATTTTTGATCTTATGGTTACTTAAGTACAAGATTAGCCAGCATAAAAAGCAAAACAACAACAAAAAAAAAAACACAGTTCAATATCTAATGATGACTACGTAAATGTCTCATTCTTTTCTCAACTGTACATACAGTAAAACCGTACATGACAGTATACTGTCCTACTAAGTAAATTTAGTTTTCCACCCTGAAATACAGAAAAGTATTATATGGGACTTATTTCTAATGAGGAATAGCCATCATTTTGCCTTAGGGAATCAAAAGAAAAGGAAAGAACTAAAAAAAATTAAAAAAAAGTTTATGAAAATTTATAAAATTCTTACATAAAATTCGGTGGGAAATAGTAAGAGCTGGAGGGGATGGGAACTCCACAAGCAGAGCAACAGAACAAGATAATTTGAACACAGGGAACTTCCCAGAGACTCATACTCCAACCAAGGACTATTCGTGGAGATAACCTAGAACTCCTGCACAGATGTAGCCCATGGCAGTTCAGTGTCCAAGTAGGTTACACAGTAATGGGAAGAATTATGCCTCTGACATAATCTGATTGGCCTGCTCTTTGATCACCTCCCCCTGAGGGGCGCAGCCTTACCAGGCTACAGTAGAGGACAATGCAGCCACTTTTGATGAGAACTGATAGACTAAGATCAGAAAGGAGAGGAGAACCTCCCCTATCAGTGGACTTGGGGAGTGGCATGCATGCAGAAAGGGGAGAGAGGGTGGGATCGGGAGGGGAGGAGGGAGGGGCTTATGGGGGGATACAAAATGAAGAAAGTGTAATTAATAAAAAATTTAAAAAAATTTATAAAATTCATGCAAACTTATCATACATGAAAGCTGAGAGAAGGAAGGCTTATTAGTGTGCAGACTTTCCATTGCCTGATAATACCTAAAATGACTGTGTAAGTTACTAGTTCAAATAGAACAGCTCCTGTCCAAAGAGACAGAGAGAGGGAAAAAAAGAGGCCAGCTTGTTGCAAAGGCATTACAACAGCCAAGAGACTAGGGTTCAATGCCAAACCCTTCGAGTTCAGCAGGGGAAACCACAATAATTAGTCGTGAGTTTCTGGAGCATTCTGTGACTACATGGGTGGTTGCCTTGAAGGGAATAATAAAACCTGGTTTGGATTATAAATTTATAAAGCCCAAACAAATAAAACACACACTACTGGATTTCTAAACATCACTGAACCAGGAGACAGAGAAATTCTCTCTCTCTCTCTCTCTTTTTTTTTTTTTCTGTACTCCCTTTATGAAAACCCTGCCACATTCTTCCTCTTAAAACAACCAGAATAATCTTGGAGGAGCAAACGTGGACAAGCAGTAGACCTTTCCTGAACACCTCTAGCTTTTCTTTAAGATGATTATTTCTCACCAGTCTTGAGGGAGGGAGGAGGAGCCTCTTGGAAAAGCCAGAAGCAGATGTTCTTAACCCAAATTACTCTGCTGGGTTTTTATCCTGGCTTAGGGTGCTGAACAAAGAACAATGCTCCCCTCAGCAAGTCTGCCTAATGTCAGATGCTTGAACAATTACAGGGTGTTAACCTACGGGAATTGGCTCTGGGGTCCAGAGAACTTGACATAAAACAGACCAAGAGCTCCCTGAGCCTTTGGTCCAGTGAGCGTGATGGAGAATGTCTCTTAGACCTTTGACAGCACAACAGCACTGGGAAGACGGTTGTGATGGGTGAAGATCCCACACAAGTCATTTTACTTAAAAAGCTGACTTGGGGAGAGCTTGGGTACTAGATTACCATTTTACTCTGGGCTTTGTCTAACAAGCAACACTGGGTATTTTTCTCAGTTAAAACTAGTACTAGAGAGAAAGGAAGTAAAAATAAATGATAAAATCAATGGCGTTTGTTTATCTTAAGGCAGTAAAGTTTGGACGAGGGGCCATCCCAGGTGTTATGTGTTCAAGTCTTGTTCAATACTCCATGGTGCTGCGTGGAGGTGGGGACATCCCGTAAGAGGTGGGTCCTGTGGAAAAGGAGGTAGGGCATGGGGGTAGGGTTAAACGGATCCTGGGACCTGCATCCTCTTCCCTCCCTGTCTTCACTTTCAGTAACAACAAAATGTCTTTGGTTGGACATTCCCTGCTCTGAGATTCTGCTTCAGTACAGCCCCAAAAGCAAGAGGGTCAAGGAATGATTGAATGAATCCTTTGAAGCACTAAGTAAAAGGAACCATTCCTTCTTGGTCTCAGGTATCCTGCCAGAGTGAGGACACAGGGAGCCTGTGAGCTCAGTATCAGCTGTTAGTTGTTAGGACGCTGATAAAATTGACATGAGCAAGCTACATCCTGCTGTTCATTCAAATAGTCATCTTCATAACATTTTGTTTAAGGCATTCACAGGATTGTACTTAAAACACCCGCCTCTTTCCTCCTTAAAAATACTTAATACTAGGGACTGGAGACATGGCTCAGTGGTTAAGAGCACTGCTGCTTTTCCAGAGGTTCCGTGTTTGATTTCTAGCACCCAAATGGTATCTGATGACCACCCGTAACTCCAGTCTCAGCCAGTGTATTACCCTCCCCTAGCCTCCTAGAACACTGCATACACATAAGAAAAATAAACAAATCTTTAAAACCTTTAATATTTTAAGATCAAGTATCTAAAATGAAGATATTACTGCATGGAGGGGACCTAGAACCCCTGCTCAGATATATCTGATTGGCAGCTAAGTCTCCATGTCAGTTGCTGAGTAAAGGGAGCAGGGGCTGCCTGTGTCATGAACTCAATTGCCTGCTCTGTGAGCACTTGCCTCTGGCGATGCGGCCTTGCCAGGCCACAGAGGAAGGGGATCCAGGCAGTCCTGATAAGTCTTGATAAGCTGTGGGCAGATGGCAGAGGAGGGGAACTCTCTTTTTCAGTGGACTAGGGGAAGGGAATAAAAGGGATAGAGGGGAAGAGGGAGGGAGGGTGGAACTGGGAGGAGTTGTGGGAGGGGGCTTCAACTGGGGTATATAATGAATAAATTGTAAAAATATAAAAAATTATTTCAAAAAGATCTTTTTTAATAATCATCTGATAATACTTTGTAATTCAGTTTCTTTTTATTTCCTTCTCCTTTCTTCCTTTTTTCTTTCTTTTCTTCCTTCCTTTTTGAGAAATGGTATCCAGGCTAGCCCTCAAACTCACCATGTAGTTCAAGCTGTCTTTGAATTCATAGTAATCCTCCTGAGTGCTGGGATTACAAACAAGCATGTGCCCATATGTCCAGTTTATAATTATGTTTTATTGTAATGTAAGGATAATCCATTTGCTTAATTTCATTTGGGGAACCATTTGAGTCCAGCCATAATATATTAGGTATAATTAGGACATTTTGAAAGACTTAAAATGAGATATATACATTTCAGGTACAATGCATTAAAATAGTATAAAATAGTCACAGCAGAACAAAAAAAAAAAACCCATTCAAACAAAATAATCAATTATATGAGCTTACTTGGTGCAATATAATACAATATATTTTATTTCAATTTTTAAACTTTCATTTATGAGTATGTGTCTGTGTGTGGGTATGTGTACAAGAATTCAGGTGACTTTGGAACACAGAAGGCGGCATGAGACACCTAAAAGCCAGGGTTACAGGTGGTTGTGAGCCACCTAGTGTGGGTGCTGGGACCCCAAGTAAGGTCCTCTGTAAGAGCAGCAAGCACTCTTAAGCCCTGAGTCGTGTCTCCAGCCCACAAAATAATTCTTTTATCCATTACCCATTACTATACAACCAATTATATAAAGCTAATTATTTTGTACTCTCTTCAATGACCTGTTCAGACTGTATGGAAAATGGGGTTCCTATTTATAGAGCCATGGGGAAAAAGTGAAGCTCCCATGACAGCCTCACACAGGACATCACATTATCCTATACTTTCCTGCTACCATGATAAAGTTCTTACCTGCTACATATGACAGGTGGAGGCAGGATCTGAGGGGACAGGTCAGGGGCACTTTGGGTGTAAGTTAAGACCCTGTGAGATCCGGGGCCTCGCTTGGCAGTTGCTTCAGAGGATTCTGGAAACTGTGCTGAAGTAATGCTGCTGATGGGACTGCTGTCAGGCGATCCTTGAGGAGGTGAGGAGGAAGGCGAGGGAACAGGTGAAATTGTAGCAAGGCCACCTGAAAGAGAATGGGAGTTATGATGTCATTCAACAAATACTCCTGAAGTGAAAACCTGCGACTACCTCCATGACCTTCACCCTTTACGCATATACACAGAGGCCACCAACTACACAGATCTGGTCTTACGTCCATGCTACCATCTGGAGACAAGGCATGTAGCTGCAGTGTCTCCGTGACATAGAAATATGACCAATAAATCATCCGGAAAAATTCCTGGTCATGCTGGCACACCCACCGAAGCCACAGTGGCCTGAAACAACCTCAGGGCAGAATATTATTTCCTTCTCCCATTTTTGTTTCTTTCTTGTCATTCTGACTTGGAAATAACAGGTATTTTCTCATATGTCTGACAAATTTCCAGCTGGAACAAAACTCACTACTTTAAAAAAAAAAAGATATACTTATTTTTTATTTACATGTGTGTGTGTTTGCCTGCCTGAGTTGATGTGCACTGCATGTGTACAGGAGGCCAGAAGATGACACCAGATCCCCTGGAACTGAAGTTCCAGGTGGCTGTGAGATACCATGTGGTTGGTGGGAACCAAACCGAGGTCCTCAGGAAGAGCAGCAAGTGTTCTTAATCACTCAGACATCTCTCCAAGCTCACTATTGCCTTAAAGTCACATCTAGAGCATGACAGCAGGCATGGGATGCTTATAATATGCAAGTGAAAATGATGTGTTGGGAGAGGTGATTAGCCTTCCTAATGGTTCATACTTTCGGTGAAATGTATATTTGTATGTAAAAAATGCCCTCTGAGGAAAGCAAGTTTGAAGAGAACATTGAAGCATGTAATACATTCAGCACAAACCACACAGTAGGCCTAAAGTTTAAACTTCAAAATTGGGTGCTTGGGCCAGACTCCCCCAGTATTCACATTTCCACCACAGCTTGAGGCCTGCCTAGGGTACTGGCTTGGATTTCTAAAGCTCTCACTCTGTAAGTTCAGGCTAATGTCTCTTGAAGCTACAGTCTCCCAATTACAGAGAGGGCAGAGTGCAAGTAAAGTTGGGAGGAAATAAAAAAGAGATGAATGACTTCGAGTCATCCACAGGTCTCTGCTCATCTTCTCTGAGGGGAAACTGGTAGTCCTGGATGTCACATCCTCAGCTGGTGTGTGTAGCTAACTGGCAGCGGTTCAAGGCAGCCTTGTGTCCAAAACTCAGTTCCTTCAAAAGGTTTACTGTTCCCAGTCCAGCATTTCCTGCTCTGTGGAGTAGAAGATCATAGCTTGTACGAGAGTTCCCTTGGTGTCTGTTTTATAACTTCGTTGGCACCATGTTTCTTCTGTGTAGGGACAGAATGGTGGACAACCTCCCTCCTAGGCCCCTGCAGCATATTTCTGTGTTTTTCTCTAAGCAACAGATCAACCCCTCATCTTTGTCCTTAACAAACGAGCTCACCGCAATCCAGTGATGCTAAACAGTTTTCAGGGTTACAAGTACAAGTGAGAGTGTGAACACGGGAGAGAGGGTTGACACCTGGCAAAGAGCGAGCTCCAGCATAGCCTGGTCTGCAGAGTGAGCTCCAGCATAGCCTG